AAAAAAAAAAAAAAAGAAAGAAAGGAGAAGTCTTCTCCAAACAGTGCAGGCAAGGGAGGAAAAATAATTTTCTCTCTACCCTTCTAGAACTCTACTGCCACCCCCACCCCTACCCCAAATGAAGGACCCAGTAACAGGAGAAAAAGAAAACAATTTTAATTACATAGCATACACGGGAGCCCCACAAAGATAGGAGACTCAAAGGCAGCTGGATATTTGAGGCTTCCGCGCCCTTCAGAGTTAAGGAAAGGGCTAGGTGTCCGGGCTGCCAAGGGCAGGGGTGGGAAGCCACCTGGGAAAAGTGAGAGGAGGAACTGTTTGGTAAACAAAGGCTGCCCAGCCCCAACATCAGGCTCTCAGGCAAAAAGGTGAACTCTGAGCTGTCTTCTGGTGCGGGCCCCTTTTCTAATGTAAATCTCCCTTATAAAGGGGTTACTCCTGCTGTTTTCAGAGCTTCTCCTGAGTCCCAGTTTCTCAAAAATAAACAGTACAAGGGGTGCCTGGGTGGCTCAGTGAGTTAAGCCTCTGCCTTCGGCTCTGGTCATGATCTCAGGGTCCTGGGATCCACCCCAAGTCAGACTCTCTGCTCAGTGGGGAGCCTGCTTCCCCCCCACTCTCTGCCTGCCTCTCTGCCTACCTGTGATCTCTGTCAAATAAATAAATAAAATCTTTAAAAAAATAAATAGTTCAAAATAATAAGCATGCTAAAGAGGACTATTTTGGGTGGATATCCTGCCATCCTCCAACAGAGCAAATGCCAGAGCTAGCATTGAGGAGCCCTGCCTGCCCCCACCCCATGAAAGGTGGTGGTCATCAGAGGAGGCAAGGTCTTAGCTGTGGGGCACAGAGGGCTACTCTTCTTTTGTATTCATTTATTTATTCATTACGTCTTACCTGTCTACTTTTCTCCTTTTTAACCTTTGTTTAGCTTATCAGCTGATCACCGTGGTGATCGCAGCAGCAGGAGGTGGGCTTCTTCTGATTCTCGGCATCGCGCTGATTGTTACCTGCTGCCGGTGAGTGCCAGGAGTTCACATTCTTATTCTCTTTGCCTCTGCTAAGCAATAGTCTGTGTAGATTTTAAAGAATGTTTGGGGTGCTTTACAGTATTAAATCATCCTGTATAACGGAACCATTCAAAAAAGGAGAAAGGAAAATTCATGATACATAGTGCCATTGAGAAAGGACAGCAAATGGGACTCTGTTTCCTTTACTAAAAAAAAGAATATCCCTAAGCACAAGCAATAAAAAAGTGATAGATTGGACGTCATCAAAATTTAAAAACTTCTGTGCTTCAAAGAACCCTATCAGGAAAGTGAAAACACAACCTAGGGAACAGGAGAAAGGGTTTGAAAATCATATGTCTAATAAGGGACTTATGTCTAGAATATAGAAAGAATTCTTAAAACTCGATAATAAAAAGGCGACTTCACTTAAAAATGGGCAAAACAGGGGCGCCTGGGTGGCTCAGTGGGTTAAGCCGCTGCCTTCGGCTCAGGTCATGATCTCAGAGTCCTGGGATGGAGCCCCGCATCGGGCTCTCTGCTCTCTAGGGGAGCCTGCTTCCTCCTCTCTCTCTGCCTGCCTCTCTGCCTGCTTGTGATCTCTCTGTCAAATAAATAAATAAAATCTTTAAAAAAAAAAATGGGCAAAACACTTCAATAGGCATTTCACCAAAGGAGATGAACAAATGGCCAGGAGGCACATGAAATGACGCTCCGCATCATTAGCCATCAGGGAAATACAAACAAAATTGCCAGGAGACATCACTCCACACCCACTAAGATGCCCATTTAAAAACCAAGAGGGGGGGTGGGAGGATGGGGTAACTAGGTCATGGGCATTAAGGAGGGCACAGGCTGTAATGAGCACTGGCTGTTATATAAGACTGATGAATCATGGACTTCTACCTCTGAAACCAATAATACATTATATGTTAATTAATTGAATTTAAATGAAAAATAAAAATTAAAAAACAAGAAAACGGCAAACATTGGTGAGGCTGTGGAAGATTTGGAACACTCCTGCTCTGCTGGCAGAAACACAAAATGGTGCAGCCCCTCTGAAGGAGTCTGTCAGCTCCTTGGGAAGGTAAACACCTTGTCCGCCTGTGACCCGGTGTTGGATCCCCCAATAATGGGTCCGTGATTAAAGGAGCGAGACTGATACAAAGCGAAGGTCGAGCAAAGCTTTATTTCACGTCAAGCATAAGAATCAAACCGACTGTCAAACCGACGGGTCCGGCCGCCCCTTACAGAGAGGGAGACCCTTCCCTGCCTTACAGACTAACTTTTATAGAGCAAAGGCCATGTGGTTGGGCCCGGCCACACACAGGTGGCCAACTGAATTACAATTTACCCTACAGTAGCTATTTGAACTAGCCTATCACCTTGGTCAGAATTGGCGCCCAAAGGGTGGGGCCCACACTCCTTGGTAGCTAGGGAGACAGTATGCGCCCCCATTATTGGATACCTCCCCCTGACCTGACTCATCCCTGCATTCGGCCCGTTATCTCCACCTGACCTGAACCGCCCTTGTATTTGGGCTCTGTTAAGTAAGCTCCCCTGGTGGGGGAGGGTAGGTTCAGTTTAAGTTTTATTGCATAAACAAAATCACTGTTTAACCGGATGGCATCGCTCTGGCTAAATAGGCCCTTACACCCGGCACCTGCTCTCTGATGTCCATACCCTGGGAAGTGAATATGTACAGAAACATGCACAAAAGACCACCTCTTGTATGATTCCATCTCTATGAACTCTCCAAAATAGGCAAATCTCACAGACAGAGAGGTAGATTAGTGGTTTCCTGGGGCTGGCGAGTGAGGGGTGCGAACTGGGGAGTAAAGGGTAAGAGGCTTCTTTTTAGGGTGACACAACTGTTGTAAACATTGATTGTGGTGATGGTCACACACATCTGAATATACTCAAACCATTGGCTTACATACTTCAAATGGGCAAATTTAGAAGCAAACAAAGGTGAAGGGTTAGCAGAGCTGTTTCACCATTAAGCAAACGGGAGTCGGCACATAGGGTGAGCTCGCACTCAGCAGCATGCTGGGCTCTGGGCTTCTTGGAAGCCAGTGCAGTGGGTGTCTGCTGGGAAAGGAGGAGAAAGGAAGGAGTTGATCCCTTCTGTGGGTGATTATCTAGTCAGATAATGGAAAACTCTGACCTTTGATTTAGATGAGTATAAATGGCAGGAATTTTTCTGACGTAACAGATGGCGGGAACCTACCAAAATAGCAAGTTATTGCTTGCTATTGATAGGAAGGACATTGATAGGAAGGACACCATAAGATATCTTTCACTTTCAGCAAGGCTGCAGAGAGCAGTTTGCCCTAACTGCCCTTCTGGGAACCCACACCTCATGGTACCGTGTTTGCCTAACATTTGCCAAGTTGCCACCCATCATCAAAGACAAACTATGAGTGGAAATAAAATCCTGGGTAAGAGACCAGAAACTAGAGGGATTAAACCTCAAGAGGAAGTAAGCCTCCTATTTGCTAAGTATCGGAGAACCAGGTAGTGTGACCACCTGGAGAAGGAGCCAGTGTCTATGGGCTTTGGCAAAAGGGAAGGTAGTCATGAATTACTAGGTCATTGTTTGAAACCAGAGGCCCCACCCTCCAGGGAGCAACACTGTGGCAGATCTGTTCTTGAACTTGCAAGAAGGAACAACGCCTAAGCCACATGCGGGACATTTGGTTTTATGACCCTGAGTCATTTTGTGCCTTCCCAGAAAGTTTATTTATAGTGAAGGGAGATAAGAAGGAAGAAACTTCAGATTATTTTATCCAGGGCAAATATAACAAAAAATGTCTGCTCCTAGGCCCATTCCATAGGTACATCACACATATTTCCACCATTTCCAGCCAGGGATCCCTCATAAGTAGGGGAGCTTGTCCTGGGCTTTCCCTGACCTGCTGAAATGAGAATGTGTGAAGCTAATATAAACAGATGGGCATTTTTGCAAATGAGAGAGCCTGGTTTTATGGTCAGTGGAGTAGCTTCATGGGGGTAAAAGGGCCCTGGCTGGTACGGCAGGAGGCCTGCACCTTATCCCAGCTTCATTAGTAGCAAAACGTGACCTAGGGAACAACAAGTCTTATTTTTTCACAAAGCCAGAGCTGTCCCGTCCCCAGAGCCCATCTCTTAGCAAATTTTGGTGAAACCTACAAATTTCCGTGTATATCCTGATCCTCAGGCAGGTTTAGAACCATAGGATTAAAAAATCCTAAAGACCCTTTGGCTCCAGCATTCTGGGAATTCATGACTCTGATTTCCCTGACTGCCCCCAAGATGCAGTGACCTCGGTCCCCTGGAGAAGACTGCTTCACTATAGATAGCTGTTCATCCTCTGTCCATGGTAACCTGTCCCTTCCAGTTGGAAGATCTTTTTGCAATTTTTTTTTTTTTTTTGCGTCTAATTGCCTTTTTATTTGTTTTAGGCAAAATACAACAATAATGCCATTTCTTCAGTGGGCATTTATAAAAGAATGTAATGGTAGCTTTCCGTCCAAACTACCTTCTAAAATAATAAAAACATGCTTTCATAGATATTTCTTTACAGAACTTGTTCATTTAAATCATCAACTATTTTCCATTCCACAGAAAGAGTAAAAATGACATAAGCAAACTCATCTTCAAAAGTGGAGATTTCCAAATGTCCCCATATGCTGAGTACCCCAAAAACCCCCGCTCACAAGAATGGGGCCGAGAAGCTATTGAAATGCACGAGAACGGAAGTACCAAAAATCTCCTCCAGATGACGGATGTGTATTACTCGGTGCGTATCTCTGTGCCCGGGACAGCTCAGGCTCTGATCCCCTCTGGGAAGTACAGGGATTGTGTTTTGTGGTAAAACAAAGATAACTTCAGCTGCTTAAGGGTTAAAGAGAATGGTGGCCTGAGCCTCTTATTTATATAATTTAATATACAACTCACTACGATCTGTTTGCATGGTATTTGTTAGTTTTGACATCCAGATCATGAAGGCTACTTCCCCCGACCGAGCTCATTACTTTTATGGGATTGTAGCGATAACCCTTCCTGGAACCAAATTTGCTTTTGAGTTATAAGATTGGAAACTGAAAGTTAGCAGAAAGAATTTGTTGTATTTAGGCTGTGGCCCTCACATTTTCATCCCTTGTCTGCCCCACTTTTCCTCCTGTGCTTGTGGGATTGGGAACACTCCAGAGAACACTCCAGTGGCCTCCCCAGCAGCACTTCTCAGAGTTTTAGGAGATGTTCACTCAGTGGGTCTTCAACAGTGGGCCCCATCCAGCCCTGGACAGCATCATCTGGGAAGACGGTAGACCCCCGGAAGCTCTGGCTCCTTCTGTCCCACCTCGGATAACCCGTGCCCTGCCCGTTTCATTTCATGTAACGTGGCAAACACAAATGGGGCTGTCTGAGCTGGGAAGTAAACAGACATAGGTGACTTCTCATTCCACGTGGACCTCTTTGAGGTAGCAATAAATGTGGAACCTTGCCCCGTGGGGACTTAACAGCACTGTGACAGAAGTTACAACCCATCTAGTTGCTATGGGGATGAACCCTGAGGGTTCAGACTTTGGATGGGAGAGGTTCATGCTAAGGAAGCTGTTGTTTCCATTGGACCCTTTGGAAAACTTGAAACTGGGGGAAGAACAAGAAGTAAGAGGGCACCTGGGTGGCTCAGTGGGTTAAGCCTCTGCCTTCGGCTCAGGTCATCATCTCAGGGTCCCGGGATGAAGCCCTACATCGGGCTCTCTGCTCAGCAGGGAGCCTGCTTCCTCCTCTCCGTCTGCCTGCCTCTCTGCCTACTTGCGATCTCTCTCTGTTAAATATGTGAATAAAATCTTTAAAAAAAAAAAAAAAAGAAAAAGAAGAAGAATAAATAAGGGAAAAGACAGATGCAGACACAAACTTCGAGCTGGGGTTAAGTGTTAATGTTTCCGCACAAGTGCTTGGCTGTGTTCTCCGTGTGGGAAGCCCTGTTCCTCTCACGGCAGCCAGGTGTCTGCAGCTGTCTGCAGCCCGAGCAGGTGTGCCTGCACCCTCACACCGTTTGCCAGGGACTCTTCCCCCCTGCCTGGCAAAATCGCATAGGGACAAACAGACCCAGGGCACCAGAGGACCAACCCCGGTGTGTTTCCGTGGAGTTAGCACAAGAGTTGCCGGAAGTAGAAATAATCAAGAACTTAAACCAGCCCCGTCTTCCTTTCAGAAATGGGCTGAGCAGTCCGTAGAGCCTACGCTTATAGTATGAAGCTGTCCCCTGAGTGAGAAGGCTGTCTCTCACAGTGGCCTCAGGTGTACCTCGGGCACTCCTAGGATCCATGTTCATTATATGCTGTCTCTAGTGTTTTCTTTCTGCCAGGCAAGCATTTTCTCCCGGTGGGCCTCATTGAGGGCCTCCTCAAAGTAGCTGTGTCGTTTCCCTGTGAGCTGCTTTTGCACGTCAGCTAGGGAGCCATGGCCTCGGCTGGGATCTGGTCAGAGACGGCTGCCTGTTGCTGATGGCCTCCCACTCTGGCGTCCTGACTCCACCTTTAATAGGCAGTCCTATGACCTTGCAAAAGTCAGTTCCCTGTTTGTGGCAGGGACCTTAGTGCTGTGCTCTGCAAGAAAGACACTTCTTTTAAATGTCAAGATGATAATCAAGTAATAATGAATCTTTATGATAATTAGGATAATTAGCCCAGGTCTTTTCCTATATTGGTCTAAAATTGCCGGGCTGCCCTTGATCACTTTTTTAAATCTCCTTTGAAAATATGGATGCCTTTGAAAATCTCCTTTGAAAAAGGGATGCCAGGCTCCACTTTTTTTTTTTTTTTTAAGATTTTATTTATTTATTTGAGAGAGAATGAATGAGAGAGAGCATGAGAGAGGAGAAGGTTAGAGGGAGAAGCAGACTCCCCAAGGAGCCAGGAGCCCAATGCAGGACTTGATCCTGGAAGTCCAGGATCATGACCTGAGCCGAAGGCAGCCACTCAACCGACTGAGCCACCCAGGTGCCCAGGCTCCACTTTTTTAAATGGAAAAAAAGGGATGGGAAAAAAAAGGGATGCCAGGCTCCACTTTTTTAAATCTCCTTTGAAAATATGGATGCCTTTGAAAATCGCCTTTGAAAAAGGGATGCCAGGCTCCACAAAGAGAGGGCCTGGGAGGTCCTGACTTCTAGGTCAGACCCTGCTCCACTAGAGTTAGCTGCCTCCCTCTTGGGTTTATTAAAACATAGCGTTCTTTTTTCTTCTCTTTTTTTTTTTCCAAGGGGAAAAAAAACACATTAAATTTAAATCCATGTATAATAAATGCACTTCTCTTCTCTTCTCTCTGGCCACCAGCCCACAAGCGTAAGAAATCCTGAACTTGAACGCAATGGACTCTACCCGGCGTACACTGGACTGCCGGGGTCACGGCACTCGTGCATTTTCCCTGGACAGTATAACCCATCTTTCATCAGTGATGAGAGCAGGAGAAGAGACTACTTCTAAGGGCGGAAGAGAGACAGACGGCCCAGCACTCTGAGCAAGTTGTGGGCCCTCCACACTCAGAGGACTGCACCAGGGGGGCCAGCGTGCTCACGGGCTGCTCCCAGGACTCATGGAGCCACACTCCTGTGGCAAGCAGAAAGCAGCAGGACAGGCGTGAGGGGCGTGACCACAGGGGAAGGGGACAGACAGATCCGGGACGTGGAACTGAGGGCTGCTCCTTGGGCACCTTTGCCTTACTGTGAACATGAACAGGGGCCAGTCCCGGGTGTCCCCAAATGAGGCAGCCACCTCGGGGCCACCGGCCATGGGTCATGGGCCACGGGTTGACTCTTAACCAGGGCATGTCTTCAGGCACCTTCGCCAGGACCCAGTCTTTCCTTAGTTTGCACTTTAGTCAATTGGATAGGGAGGTCTCCTTTTGGATTTTTTCCAAGACTGTTCCAAAAAGAAGGCCTCTTTTCCTCAGACGCTCCCATAGGCCTTGATCTGGTGATTAATTTACTGCAAAGTACAGGCTCTTTCGTGGTTCCCCTGCCCAGTATCTACATGCTAAACCACGGATGAACGAACATACCACTAAGGTTTGGAGATGCTGCAGGTGAGCACACAGTATTTTTAGTAGGTTCTAGGTCTTCTGCAGTTTCCATCCCAACCCTCAAAATGAGGAACTAAACTGTGCGAGGCATAGCACACACCCCATTTTGTAGTCAAGGTGACATTTATTTAAGATTATTTCTTTTTTCCCTCCGCAGTTAATCCTCCCTTTTTCAAACAAGTCTGCATCAGGGCAAGACAAGTTGCATTTGCTTTTAATTGGAGGCCTCCCGCTGCCGGTAGTGAGGCGGGGCACTGTGGGGAGGAGGCCCAGAGAGTCGCAGAGCCCAGGGCCAGGGTGGAGGCGGGTGGGGGGGGCGCTTCTCTTTCCTGAGGGCAGCGCCCGGTGTCGGCGCGGGACTCAGGACTCTGTCCTCCCGCCGCGGAGGCCGAAGCTGTTATGTTTGTGCAGTAGAAATGGGAAGCCGAATGCAGACTGGGCCTGAGCGGGAATTCCGCCACTGAGGGAGAAGCACCCGGATGTGGCCGGAGGACTGGACTGACCCGGCACGGTCCACTTCCTGAAACCCTCGTGCTTTGGGAAGCCTGTGTGGGTTCCTGAGGAAGACCCGGGAGCTGGGATGGAGCCACACATCCTTGAGTCTGCTTCCCTTCTGGGGCGGCTTCTGTGACCCTATCTGGGATCTTGCCCACAAACTCAGTGTCCTCTTTCAACTAAGGGCTCAAAGCTGTTTTTTCACTGAAGAAATAACTTATTTTCTCTCGTGCAGTAATTCGCCCCTCTTTATACTACTGCGGAGTTCCCTCCAGAAACATGGTAGTTTCAGTCAGCGTCGGAGAACTAAAGACTTCCGGCCAGTTTAGGCGTTGAGAGTTTGCCTTTGGGAAGGAAGTGCCGCGTGTCTTATTTATTATGCCTGTGACTTGGGTCCTGTGGGGGGAGGGGCACCCCCAGGGCGCGATGTCTTTACCTGCTCCTTGTGGAACTGCGATTATTCCCGCCATGTGCTTTTGACACATCCTGGTTTGGGATGAAGTAAGGAGAACACAGTGGTCAGAGAAGTGTTTCCACCCTGAAGCCTGGAGCTCAGGAGCTACATTTCTGGAAGCGGTCTAGCCTTTGGGAACAGTTCTGTCCTGGGCATGGTTGTTTCTTCAGAGTTCGCTCATCTCTTCAGAGTCTATCTCACCCTTACTGTTCTGTAATCCTCACCCTTAGCGTTCTAAGTGTCAACTTTTGTGTCCCCTGGTCTCCACAAGCCACCATCACCCTGCTGGCAGCAGGAACACAAGTCAGGTGTGACGCTTTTTAGTCATTACATTGGACTCATCTCCTGAGATACAAATTCTCTTGTCGTCAGCAGATGCCAGCTTCAAATTTCAGGGCATCACCTTTCTGAAATCTCTGGGTCTTGCCTCTTTCTGGGGAACCAAAGGGCCTTCATGCCCCCTGGTCTCACATCTAACTGGAGAGCTCCGAGCTCCTGCCCTCTGCTCACCTGGGCCAACAGACTTGCCTCCCTGGTGAGGTGACCTTGCTTCCTGGCTCTTGATGCAGATCCTTGCTTATCCCCAGAACCCAGAGGCGTGGTGGGGGTGGGTTCCCAGGCATTCTCAGCTAAAGGTGTCCGATGCTGTCTCAGCTGACAGATCATCTCCTGTGTCAGGACCAGAAGCTATAAGCTACACAAAGTTAAGTGTTTTGTCTCAAAAGCATTCTTAAGAATGCTGATGTCCAGAAGAGTGTCCTGTGAGTTCCAAGAGTGCTTTCTTGTGAGTAGGTTTGGTGCGTGTGAAGTGGATTAAGAATGTTGTTTTTCTTTTACTGTGAAAAAAGGAGGCCTCCAACGATGTGAGGTTCAAAGGTATCTCCTTGCTAGGAGGCTGTGGGGTTGGGGAGGGGCTGTCTCAAGAGCACAAGGGTCTAACAAGGCATGAAAACCAGCATGACTGCTCCCTGGTTACACGTTGGCTGCCCACCCTGAATGAGGAAGGGAGGCCGGCTGCACATCTGCCTGGGGTTCGGTACCTCCCAGAGGGTCCTACCTGGGCAAAGGGCAAACAAGCAGTGGGACAGCAGCAGCCTCTGGACTGGAGAGACAGGGTAGGGTGTGCCCCTGGGGAGCAGAAGCCCTCAGCTTCAGCATGGGTGCTCCATGCCTTCCCCTGCATCTGGAATGTGCGATTCGTGCCCATAGAAATGCCACGGTCCTGCCTCGTTGGGGCCCCACAGCTAGGGGAAGGTGGAAGGGAAAAGGGACACTTCACTGCTCATGAGAGGCTTCAACTTCTAGAGGGCCGGGCAGTGCCTCAGAGCAGGATGGGGGGTGGGGGTTACCTGCCAGCCTCCTGGCTACTGTGGGTTTGTTTAAGCTGGCGGGGGGGCTCTTTCTCCTGTCTTTTCCTCTCGGCCCCACGAGCCAGCCCAGGGCCCTGGAGAGAATTGACGAAGTCTGCCTGTTGTGACCCGAATCTCTGGTGTTCCCACCATGACCCGGCTCTGTGCAAGGCCCTTGGCCTCACCACACCCTGGTGAAGCATGCATGAATGTCCATTTCTTGCACACGTGAACTTCTAGAGAAAGTGAATATCTTGCCTTAGAGAGCCAGGATTCAAACTCCTCTCCCTGCCTTGCCTTCCTGTGAATGCCTCACCATCCAAATGGACCTTACATGTCAAAGAGGGCAGGAGAGAGTGGGCTTATAATATACTTTTTTTTTGAAGAACCTTAATATTATTAAGCATTAACTGAACTAATGACATGAAATGCAAAAAAAAAAAAAAAAACAAAAACAAAAAAACCAAAATAATGTTGATTCCTTTTTGAAAAAGTCCTTTTGGGTTCATTGCATATAATTGCATCCATTTCTTGGACACGTGAGGTTAAGAGTGGCTGGCTTGTGTTTAGCGAGAAGTGTACTGGTACGTGGCTTGGGGCGTAGGAAGGGTGAGGTGATGACCCAGGTTTCTGGCAAACACAGCCAGACTTAGATGCCCGCTGAGGCCCGTTTTGCCTTGTATCCGCGGGAAGGCTGTGGCTCCCACGTATTAGAAGCATATTTTTGTGAATGTGATCAGAGTCGTGAACTTATTCAGTTGAATGTCTTAAATGCTGACAAATCTTCTTCCTTGGACGAAAATTTGTTTTCAGAAGCAGCTAACTCATTTAGAGCCAAGTATGTTGAATGGAGAGGGTAATCGAGCTGGCTGCTAGCATTTGGAATTCTAAACAAAGATGTGACTATTAAGTTCTCGAAGAGGTAATTCTTAAAGTTGGTCCAAACAGAAGGGCAGCATCTTTGCAGGGCTGGATGGCTGCCTAAGAAAATGTTTCTGAAGGATGGTATTTATTCAGATGTGGAAGTTCCCAGAGCGCCTCTGAGGGACATACCACGCATGTGGCTTTGTGGGGTCTCCGTGAAGCTATCTTGCCCACTGGCCAAGGGCCCGAATACCTGGGAACTTAGCCTGAAGAAGCTAAAGCCGAGCATTCTAGTTTCTTCTGGCTTAGTTTAGCCTAGCATGCTCCAAAGTCGGGTTCAGACCCATTGTTCTAAGATACTTACCCTGATTTCAAAACAAGAACACTTGTTTGGAGACAGGAAGAATGGAAAGTTCAGTATTTCAGTATTCTCTGTCTTCTTTAAAACTGCCCTTCACATCAGAGATATTTTTTCTATGGGAAGACTTCTGTGGGGATTAGAAGGGACGTGTCATTTCCTCCTTCCTGACCAAGCATCTTTCTGAGGTTCTTGTGTGCATTTATGGAAACAGATAGGGTTTTGTAGAGTTGTCCTTTGAGTGTGTGTTCTTTTTTTCTTTTCTGAAATCCCCAGAGAAGGAGACTGGTTAAAAGACTAGAAATATCAAAGTATTAAATGCCAGTCAATTTGTTGTGCTAAAGTATCTTTTCATAGTGTTATAATCCATCCTGTTTGCTGGCAACTGCTCACAAAAAAGCCTGTGAAACCCAAGGGGACAATTTAGGTCTATAAACAGAGATCTTACACCAGCTTTGTCCCCTCTGCATTTTTTAACAGGACATTTCAAAGGATTTGCCTACTAGATTCTGGTGGGGTTTTTTTGTTTGTTTGTTTTTTGGTTTTTTTTTGTTTTTTGTTTTTTGGTTTTTTTTTAGGATATGCAATGCAGGTGCAGAGTTCTTACCTAGGAAGGATGGGACCAGACAGGGGTGGGAGGGAACCAGTCTATCCGGGAAACTAACCCAGATTTCTGTATTACCTTGGCCCGTTTCTTCAAAAACAGAAGGTCTTTCATCCTGGGTTGCTGTGAGTTTCGTTAATGTTTGTGTTGTTGGACTTATGGTTAAAAGAAGCATGTTGCTGGAATGTGAACTTCTTGAGTTTTCACATTGTCCTGAATTTCTTTTTGCAAACCTTTAAACCTTAAACCCCTGGTCGATTGTGTTAAAACCATTATGAGAATGTTATTTAAAGTTGTATTATAATTGCCACCTCCACTAATTATTCAGTACTGTAGCAGCAAAGTATTATTTGTAAGAATCTGGTTATTTTTATACTTATATCTACTTTAAGTCTGGCGTTCTAGTCAGTAAATGATGCAATAAAATGAATATCATTTTCACTGTGCGTTTTTCTCATAATAACAAGCAAACAGAGGGCAGCAGGTTACCTTTCACAAGTTAACAATGGAACTCTTCGGGAAACTCTTGTGTGGCAAACATAGGGACTGAGTTATTTCTGGATCCTCAGTACCCAGCTCGGTGAGGAAATGCACTTTTGATGATGGATGGATGGATGGACACAATGACCTAAATGGTAAAAAAGCCTGACTCAGGTGTATAACACCTGCTGGTGTTTGCTTTCCTTTCTATGGATTGGAGAATAGATAACCAGTTCAGATGTTCAATATTTCCTCCTGAATGCCTCCCCTGCAACCATCCCAGGCCACCTTTTCACATCTTGAACGGGAAGGGGCAGGAAGCAAGCATGTCTGTACTCCATGGCCAGGAGAATCCTTGGAACATGAAGACAGCAGACCATGAGACATAGACTCATGCTGGCCCGCGAATATAGCTGCCTGGCTAGATAGATGTTCATTAATTATTTGCTTCCTTCAGTTCCTCTCATGGCAGGGATGGTGAGCCTCTCAGACGCTGTATGATGGAAACCTTGGTCACTAGGAGAGGCTAACCTTGTCAGCTTGGTGCCTGAGGGTGAACTTTGGGCACATTAGATCAGGGTAGCAGTCCATCAGATAGCTCAGAGTGGGCATGACCAGCAGCACTCTCCTATCCTGACCCAGCTCCCCCTAAACTCAGCTTTCTTAGCCCATCCCAATGGAGATTTCAACAAGACCCCAGAACTGACCCCTCCTACCCACCTCAGCGGGACATCAGAGCATTTCCAGACCCACTCACCCGTGGTATTGTCTTAGGACCTAACAGTGGGTCTGTTGCTGTCCACTGACAAGCTGGCCAGAGTGCTTGTCCTACTTGTGCATCTGACTGACAGATTTGATTTGCCAGTAAGCAAAGATCTAAAAAATATTTTTAGACTCTTGGACTTAAAGGACTTCATCAATGCACACTGAGTTTTTCCAGTTGCTTGGAAAATGACAAAAAATAAGGGGTGTAGACCACAGTCCTTGTGTATTGGATCCTGGGTGGCCAAGACAGCTCTGAATCCCCAGAACTGGGTTGTGGCGTCCTATAGCCATCTGATATAGCAAGCATGAACTTCAGGAAGATAGAAGAGGGATGCCGGGGGCTCCGGAATGACTCAGTCAGTTAAGTGTCCTGACTCTTGATTTTGACTCGGGTCATGATCTCAGGGTTGCAAAATTGAGTTCTGTGTTAGGCTCGCACTCAGCATGGAGCCTGCTTGGGATTCTCTCTCTCTCCTTCCCCCTCTGCCCCACACTGACTCACCCCATGTAGCTTCTCTCTCTCTAAAATAAATAAATAAATAAATAAAATCTTTAAGAAGAAGGGAGAGAGGAGTGCCTGGGTGGCTGAGTGGGTTAAAACCTCTGCCTTCGGCTCAGGTCATGATCCCAGGGTCCTGGGATGGAGCCCCACATTGGGCTCTCTGCTCAGCAGGGAGCCTGCTTTCTCCTCTCTCTCTGCCTGCCTCTCTGCATACTTGTGATCTCTCTCACTGTCAAATAAATAAATAAATCTTTAAAAAAAAAAAGAGAGAGAGAGAGAGATGCCAAGAATAAAGATATTTATTGATTTTTTATTTACCTTGTAAAAACTTACAGCACCACTGCAAGGCCTGGGCTCCAACCACTGGTATGAGACATTCTCTAAATTTCATGGCTCTTTTCCCAGATCATGATCTCAGGCCAAATGTGTTGCTCAGCTCTCTGAGCCTCAGAGTCCTGATCCCTAAAGCAGAGATAATAATGACTGCCTTGCAGAGTTGTGAGGATTAAAAGGGAGAATCATGTGAGAAGACTCTGTAAGCAAAGAAATGCAACAGCAAGAGAAGATATTGGTTCTCTACAGTAGGGAACTCCTGTCACCCAAAGAAAGACAACTGCAGAATTAATGTTATCTCAATGCTGATTCACTAGTAACTGGCCCCAAAGACCTTGGACTTGCTGTCGTTTACCCCTTCCCTCCTCTCCTCCTGCTCCCCATATAACAAAGGGGTTAATGAGCCCAAAATTGGATATCTGTAAGGGTGGGAATTAAGACTGTCCTGTTGAACATTAGATGTTCAAATGCCACCTAACAGGCATTTGCTAAAACAGAATGAGTGAGTGAGAAGACGAACCATTGCAACAGAAGAAATACACTGAAGTTGAAGGTCCTAGGGACTCAGTCACTCTAGGAGCTGCAGACTGGTGACTCCCTGATAGCAAGCGTGTGCACAACTATGACATGTAACTGAACAGGAACACTTAGCAAGGATCTCTTGTAGCAAAGCCCAAGCAGGCATTTGTAGATGAAACACTTTATTATTTTTTAAAGATTTTATTTATTTATTTGACAGGCAGAGATCATAAGTGGGCAGAGAGGCAGGCAGAGAGAGAGGAAGGGAAGCAAGCTCCCTGCTGAGCAGAGAGCCCGAGCCACCCAGGAACCCCTAGATGAAACACTTTAAAGATGTGCTAGGAAGCCCCTCACCTGATGAGCTGGGGAACAAGGGTACAGTGGACTAGTACTCAGCAAAGAAAAGGAACAAACCACCGCAGGAGGCAGGCCCCTGCTTTGGTCTCAGAACCAGGCGCTAAGTAAAAAGAGCCAGATGTAAAAGCCTTCATACTGGGTAATGCCATCTATATTACATTCTGGAAAAGATAAAACCGTGGGGACAGAAAACAGATGAGTGGTTCCCTAGAGGTGGGGAGAAAGATTTCTGTGGTTCACTAAGGAAATGTCCAGCTTTCCTCCTTCCAGGCACAAGGTAGCATGTACTTCCCCACCTCTTGTGAAATACGGCTACAGGACTTGCTTTGGCCAAAGAAACATGAACGGAAGTGAAATGTATCCCTTCCGGGATGACACTTTAAGAGCCAATGTGTGAGGTTCACTTCTCTCGCCTCCGCAATCATGGAAGTACACGTTGAGACGGAGCCACTGTTGTTGGCGTGGGACCCTGGCTCTCTGGGCTTGGAAACATCCTGTTGTTTTCTTAAGGCTCTGAGACTGAGGAGTCGCCTGCCGCAGCATCACTCGGTCCATCCTGACTAGCGCAGCGCTCTAGAATTAACACTAGTCTAACTGTAGCTTATATGAATGGCTTGGTTCCTAGTTCAGTGCCTTGGAACAGTAACGATTATCATTGAAATTCTCCAATGAAGTGATTTTAGGTTTGTTTGGTTGGGGTTTTTGTTGCTGCTGTTCTGTTTTGATAAGAAGTCACATTAGAGGGCACCTGGGTGGCTCAGTGGGTTAACCCTCTGCCTTCAGCTCAGGTCATGATCTCAGGGTCCTGGGATTGAGTCCTACATCAGGCTCTCTGCTCAGCAGGGAGCCTGCTTCCTCCTCTCTCTCTCTGCCTGCCTCTCTGCCTACTTATGATCTCTCTCTCTCTCTGTCAAATAAATAAATAAAATCTTTTAAAAAAAAAAAGTCACATTAGAAACATTCAATAGTGGCTAATATTTTCTAAGCCTGCTGCTGAAGCTTTGTGATATAAATGAGTTTTGAACTAGAATGATGTAGGTTTGAAAGAGCTTATTAGCTATGAGATGTTTTTTCTTAAAGATTTTATTTATGTATTAGAGAGAGATAGTGTTTGCACAAAAGGGGGGAGGGGCAGAGGGAGAAGCAGACACCCCCCACACACTGAGCAGGGAGCCCAAGGCAGGGCTTGATCCCAGGACCCCAGGATCATGACCTGAGCCGAAGGCAGAAACCCAACCAACTGAGCCACCCAGGTGCCCCATCTGTGATATCTTGGTGAATTTCTTTACTGTTCTGATCATTAGTTTCCTCCCCTATAAAAGAGAAATACTAAGATCCTAATTCAGAGGTATGGGGAGAGGTTAAATGATAGAATGTCTCTCAAGTATATCTAAAGAATAAGATCCTTCATTTAGCTCTAGCCTGGGTTGAAGCCAACATTGAATAGGTGTGGGTTACAAGCTCCCTGGTAGGCATACTTGAGATCAATGCCTTGTTTGTATACAACTAGAATATTTGTTCCTCTGTCTCTCCCTCCCGCTTACTTCACAGTTGCCAAGTCCCACTGGAAGGCATTATTACTATATCAATAAGGCAAAAGTTATTTTGAGCAATACACTATAATGTTATACTCCATGGGGAACTTGATCTATATATAGCCCAGGGATGACTAAGGAAATTGAGGAAAAAGTTCTGTCTTCCTTATCTATTCATACCATCACCCCAACCACAGAATTATCTTCTTTTTTACTTCCTTATTGGTTGGTTCACATTTCACATTGAGACTGATTCCTTTCTAAAGACCAATGACTGGGGTATAGTCATAACCTAGGAAAACAAGAACAGGTTCACCTTTGCTCACAGGTGTGACCTGGAGAGCAAGGCAGTGAGGTCATCATGACTTGTGGCTTACAAAACCTTCTTTTTGAGAGGGGCTGGGCCAGGAAAAGTCATTGCTGGGCTGAGGCTAAATGCATGAAATAAGTGGCCAGTTTTTCAAAAAGCTAAATTTATTCAACTTAAATGCAATGTCTTTAAGAGATACTGTCTTTTTTACTTGTTTTTAGTTATAAAAATGTCCTTTATTTTATGAAACAGTGGTGATGACAGATGGTAGTTCTTTCCTCCTTCACTCCCTCACTCCTTCCCTTTCTTCCCTCCCTCCCTCCTTCCCCTTTCCCTTCCCTTTCCTTAACTTTCCTTTCCTTAACTTTCCTTTCCTTAACTTTCCTTTTCTTAACTTTCCTTTCCTTTCCCTTCTTCCCTTCCTTCCTTCTGTGTATGTGTGTGTGTGTGTGTCCACATTACAAGTCTGGGACATATCACTAGTTTTTTTTGCTTTGTTTTGTTTTGTTTTTAACACCTTTGAATCTGAGAACCACGTCCACCTGGGTCATTTATGAAAGAGGAAATTGAGGCCTTATGAGGCTGAGTTACTTTTCTCAAAGTCTCCTAATGTCCCTGGTAGTTGTACAAAACAGGCCAGGTTGT